TTTCAATTAAAAGTCTAGTTACAAATTATAACTATATAGGTTTACTAAAGCATTGTACTTTTCTCTCCATAATCAGTTTGGTTGTGTTTTCCTTTGATAACCAGACATTCCAGGTTACATAGAACAGATCTGATTTTTCCTACCTTGAATGTTGACAAGTGATAACTTTAATTGTGCAATAGGCAGTTTATAACTATTGTCTATGTTTGACTTCACATTGCACATCTGTGTGCTGCTAAAGTTTCTCTCTGTGCCCACATTGCCTTCAAGCTGTGAGTCAACCAGATGTCTTATGAAGCTCTTTGGTTGTCTTAAAACAGATGTATCTTTATCCTAAACATGATCAATCTATTTCTCATGTTCATCACTTTAAATATGAGTTCATATACTTTTCCCCACTTCACATTACTGATAGAGCAAAAGTACTGCCTTTTAAGAAGCTAATGAAATGACACTGTACAACTCTACATGTATATATTTTTAAGATAGTTCTTTTATCCCAATTTTTATTTTGAAAATTTCAAACATATATAAAAATGTGGAGAATAGTAAACTCCCATGTGTACTCATTACCCAGCTTCACTGATTATCAAGTCATAGCCATTTTGGTTTCAATTATACTCCCTCCACTTCTCACTCCACTTGATTATTTTGCAGCAAATTCTGTTATTGGATTTCATATAGATATTTCAGTATGTAGCTAAAACAGATACTTTATTTATTTTTGACCTCACCACACAGCATTCAGGATCTTAGTTCCCTGACCAGGGATCGAACCCGTGCCTCCTGCAGTGGAAGCATGGAGTCTTAACCACTTGACTGCCAGGGAAGTCCCTAAAACAAGTACTTTAAAAAGCTACCGGGGACTTGCCTGGTGGCTCAGTGGTTAAGAATTCACCTGCCAATGCAGGGGACATGGGTTTGAGCCCGGGTCCAGGAAGATCCCACATGCCACGGAGCAGCTAAGCCTGTGCACCACAACTACTGAGCCTACGTTCTAGAGCCCGCAATCTACAACTACTGAAGCCCGCGTGCCACAACTACTGAAACCTGTGCGCCTAGAGCCTGTGCTCCGCAACAAGATAAGCCACCACAATGAGAAGCCCACGCACCACAACGAAGAGTGGCCCCCACTCGCCACAACTAGAGAAAGCCCACGCACAGCAATGAAGACCCAACGCAGCCAAAAAATAAATAAATAAATAAAATAATTTTAAAACAAGATGGACAAGTGGGGATTTATAGTCAAAGAGCAAGGTAGAGGTCAGTGGATGGAAAATTACTAAGAGAAACCTCAAAGGTAAGGGGGGATTCTTGCTAAACTGAACTACAAGATTCTTGCTGAAGGCAGGCCAGGGTGATCAGTATCATGGTGGGGTTGTGGGGGGAGTGCGGAGTGAGGAATTTGATCAGGTATCAAGGGTGGAGGGATTCTGGGTAAAGCTGCTTACCAGGATTCTTGCTAAAATTGGGCTCTAGAGGAACAGAAATGGAAGCCCAAGGTCATGCCTCCTTGAGAAGATGCCTCAGAGGAGCCTAACTACAGTTTGGTCAATAAGAGATTCTTTGTCATATGCATAGGTGACTAGGTAATGCCACATTCCCTTACCCGGATATGTGTCATTTTGCATTCCCACCGAAAATGTTTGAGGCTATTTCCCCACACTCTCAGCAACAAAATGTGTTGCAAGACTTGTAAGTTTTTGCCAGTCTGATCAGTGAGAAATGGTATTGTAATATAGTTTCAATTGCATTTATTTCATTATAAGTGAGACTGACATGTTTTCACATATTTTACGGCCATTTGCTTCTCTCTTTCTGAGACGTCTCTGTTCATATTTGTTGTCTTTTGATTGTTGGCCTTTTTCTTCTCTGTATCAGTTCTTTATATATTAACCTTTTAGTTGTAATACCAGTTCCCTTTGTTTATTTGTTTGTTTTTGTTTGTCATCTGTGTTTTTACTTTGTAGGAATTTTTTTTTAATTTTTTATTCTTACATAGTTAAATGTATCAGTCTTTTCCCTTATTACTTCTGGATTTGAGTTATAGGAAAGTTGTCTTCTCTTCCAGGTTATAGGGAACTTTACCATGTTTTCTTTAATAATTAAAAAGTTTGCCTTGGACTTCCCTGGTGGCGCAGTGGTTGAGAGTCCGCCTGCCGATGCAGGGGACACGGGTTCATGCCCCAGTCCGGGAAGATCCCACACGCCGCAGAGCGGCTGGGCCCGTGAGCCATGGCTGCTGGGCCTGCGCGTCTGGAGCCTGTGTTCCGCAACGGGAGAGGCCACAACAGTGAGAGGCCCGCGTACCAAAAAAAAAAAAAAAAGTTTGCCTTTTTTAAAGTTCTTTTTATTGTGGTAAAATATATACATATATAACATAAAATTTGCCATCTTAACAAATTTTAAGTGTACAATTCAGCAGCATCAATAATATTCACAGTGGTGTGTAACCATTACCACTGTCCACTTCCAAGACTTCTTCATGGTCCCAAACAGAAACTCTGTGCCCGTTATGCAGTAATTCCACATTCCTCTCTTCTCCCAGTCCCTAAAAACCTCTATTTTGCTCTCTATCTCTATGAATTTGCCTTGTATGAAATATCAATGTAACTAGAATCATGCAATATTTGTCCTTTTGTGTTTGGCTTAATTCCCTTGATATTTTCAAGGTTTATTCGTGTTGTAGTATGTATCAAAACTTCATTCCTTTTTACGGCTAATTAATATTCCATTATATGTATATACCACATTTTGTTCAGACATTCATCTGTTGATGGACATCTGGATTATTTCCACTTCTTGGCTATTGTGAATAATGCCTCAACCACCAAATCCTTTTCTACAGCAGCTGTACCGTTTTACATTTCCACCAGCAATATTCCGGTGTTCTAATTTCTCCACATCCCTGTCAGCACTTATTATTTTTGTTTTATTAAATAATAGCTATTCTAATGTGTATAAAATGGTATCTCATTGTGACTAGTGATGTTGAGCATCTTTTTCATGTGCTTGTTGTCTACTCATATTTCTTCTTTGGAGAAATGTCTGTTCACATCCTTTGCCCAGTTTTGAATTGGTTTGTTTTCCCTGCTGTTTTTAAGTTGTATTTTTCTTGATTCATCATTTGCTTGATAGCTGTAAACCTTTGACAACTTTCCAGAGTTCTAAGTTGGTTCTAATAGTTTCTGCTTGTTTTTCAATGTTTTGTGGGGACAGGATCTTGGAGCTGCCTATTCTTTCATTTTGCTGACATCACCCTCAGGTTCAATTTTTAAATTTTAGATCTTGGATATATCTGGAATTTATCTTGGTAATGGTGATTCCATATGACTGTTGAATTTATTTACAAGTCCATCTTTTCCTGATTTTTTAAGATCTAATAGTATGGACTCCTCATGGGTTTTTGTTTTATTCAGTGAGTTATAATCCATTAGTAGCATTATTTACTTTGATGTTCCATTTCCCAGACTTGTCCAGTGGGAACCCCTTCAGGTGGCTTAAGTGTCCTTTTGATATGTCTTCATCATTCACTAAGCACCGTCTTACTTTCTGGTGCAAGATATTTCGGACTCATTTGTTCTTTCTCTGTCCCAGCCCTGGAATCAGCCTTTTCTCTAAGGAGCCATGATTCCTTTTCTTGGAAAATTGTATTTAGAAGCCAAGATGTAGGCTTTTGGTATGCTTATTGCTTCTAGTCTGTCATTGCTTCCAGGACCTCTCAAAGGGCAGATGGCTTGGACTCTTTTAAACATTGATTTGTTTCCTTATTTCTTATATTATTTTTGTTGTAAGGGCAAAAGAGTATTGCAGAAAGTTTGGGAAAGAGAGAAAATAATCCAGTTTTTTACCCCCCCAACAATAACTATTTTCACTCTTGCTTCTCTCCATTTTTCAAAAAATTGATTGATTAATTTATTTTTGGCTGCGTTGGGTCTTTGTTGCTGTGCGTGGGCTTCTCATTGAGGTGGCTCCTCTTGTTGTGGAGGAGCTCTATTTTATTCCCGTTTTGCCCCTAGGTTCTTCTGACCATTTTTTGTCTTTTTTTTTTTTTTTTTTTTTTTTTAGATTCCATATATATGTGTTAGCATACGGTATTTGTTTGTCTCTTTCTGACTTACTTCACTCTGTATGACAGACTCTGCAGACCTACTAGAGAATGGACTGGAGGATATGGGGAGGAGGAAGGGTAAGCTGGGACAAAGTGAGAGAGTGGCATGGACATATATACACTACCAAATGTAAAATAGATAGCTAGTGGGAAGCAGCCGCATAGCAGAGCGAGATCAGCTCTGTGCTTTGTGATCATCTAGAGGGGTGGGATAGGGAGGGTGGGAGGGAGGCAGATGCAAGAGGGAAGAGATATGGGGACATATGTATATGTGTTACTGATTCACTTAGTTATAAAGCAGAAACTAACACACCATTGTAAAGCAATTATACTCTAATAAAGATGTTTAAAAAAATATTGACAATAAAAATCATCTACATTGGAAAAAAAAGAATGAGTTTATATTGATTTGTTATTTTGTTACTATTGGAGATTGGGTGAAATGTTTACATTCACTTTTGTTTGTTATTAAACCAAAGCATACATTATTTTTCATCATAAATTTTTTTTTTTTTTTTTTTTGGGCCGTGAGCACTTGCAGGATCTTAGTTTCCCAACCAGTGATTGAACATGGGCCCTTGGTAGTAAAAGCATAGAGTCCTAACCACTAGACTGCCAGGGAATTGCCCTCATCATAACTTTTATGAAATCTTTCTTTTGTCAGATTATCTGAATCCAAAATTTACTTTTTATTGCTTTACTTTAAGTGAAAGTGACAGCTTTGAGTTAGGTCACTTGTTCTTAAGACCCCTTTAGTGCTACTTTAGGAGTACATAATAACTTAATGGTAAAGAATCTTAATGCATACGCTGGAATGAATTTATTTAAAATACTGTACTAAGAACTTTACCTTATTTTTCTTTTTACTTTTACAGTAAGGCAAAAGAGAATGAAAGAAGTAGATAATCTTGAAAGTATAAAGGAAGAATGGTGAGTTAATTTATGCATTTTCTTTGTTATTAATGACTTTGTCACTGTCTTTCTCTGTTTTTACATTTCACTGACTTAGTAAGTTTTCATTATGATTGTCTGTTAAATACCTAATAGTAATGTACTTTAAAGTTTTTTTTTCCATAGCTGCATTAAATGGATTTTAGTCGTTATAAATCTTTTTGTGATTAATTTTTTTAAGTGTTAAATTTCTCTCTGCCCACATATTCTTTCTGTTATTTAAGAGGAAAATTAAAGTAATTATTTATTACGTCATTAGCCTCTTGTGTTACACTATCTTGAAGTCATAGTGGAAATACAATGGCTTTGGAATCAGATAAACCTAGGTTTGAATCCCATCTCTGTCTTAACACTACTTTTCTGGCATTTGAGCAACTTTGGTAGATTCTTTGAGCTTCAGTATCTCATCTAAAATGGAGGTTGGGCTTCCCTGGTGGCGCAGTGGTTGAGAGTCCGCCTGCCGATGCAGGGGACACGGGTTTGTGCCCCGGTCTGGGAAGATCCCACATGCCGTGGAGTCACTGGGCCCGTGAGCCATGGCCGCTGAGCCTGTGCGTCCGGAGCCTGTGCTCCGCGGCAGGAGAGGCCACAACGGTGAGAGGCTTGCGTACCGCAAAAAAAAAATTAAAAAAAAAAAATAAAAAGGAGGAGGTGTACATAGGTACCTGAAAGGTTTTTATAAGAATTAGATAGCCAATTTAAAGCACTGAGCATCATATTAGCATATAGCAGGCATCCAATAAATGGTAGATGCAAAGTCTGTCGTTCTTATTAATACAAAATTCTTTATTCTCACTTCTCTGAAGTGGAATATTTATTTTTGTATTATGTTCTTTGTTTTAAATACTTGAAAAGGTAAATATCTTTCATTTATAGTCCATTTAAGGAGACAGGTAAGTATTTACAAATACTTTGTCAATGCTTTCTATACCGAACAAATATTATTTATTATTTTTTCACTAGAGTACTTACTGTTTTATATAAATATCTGATACTAACTATATAATTGTGAGGTTATGTCAGGAGCACCTAAGACTGCCTCCAGATGTGATGATTTGCTTAGAGGATTCACAGGATTCAGCCTATAGTCATACTAATGACTAAGCTTTATTGCAATGAAAAGATACTTTGCAAGGGGGTGAAGTCCAGGCGAAACCAGGCATAAGCTTCTAAGAGTCCTTGCCCAGTGGAGCCACCAGAACACACACTTAATTCCTCCAGTAATAAGTTATATAGCACGTGTGAGATGTTGTCTACCAGGGAAGTTCATTGGAAATGAGCCTAGGGTTTATACTGGGGACTAGGCACATATTAAAATTCCATACTCTCATGAGAAAAGTAAAAAGGATAGCAACAGTTAGGCCTTCTATGTTAACTCTTTTCTACAGAGAAATAAGTTGAATGGCTTGCTTATTTATTTATTTATTTTTGCCACACCTTGTGGCTTGCAGAACTTCCCCAACCAGGGATCCAACCCGTACTCCCTGCAGTGGAAGCACAGAGTTTTAACCACTGGACCACCACAGAAGCCCCAGTTGAATGACTAATTTTTTAAAAAAAATTTTATTTATTAATTTTTGGCTGTGTTGCGTCTTCATTGCTGCGCATGGGCTTTCTCTAGTTGCAGTGAGCGGGGGCTACTCGTTGTTGCGGTGCGCAGGCTTCTCATTGCGGTGGCTTCTCTTGTTGCGGAGCACGGGCTCTACATGTGTGGGCTTCAGTAGTTGTGGCTCACAGGCTCTAGAGCGTAAGCTCAGTAGTTGTGGCGCCTGGGCTTAGTTGCTCCACAGCATATGGGATCTTCCCAGACCAGGGCTGGAACCCGTGTCTTCTGCATTGGCAGGCAGATTCTTAACCACTGCGCCACCAGGAAAGCCCTGAATGACTGATTTTAAAGAGTAAAATTAACTTAGGACTTCTAACAGTTTTGTGGAGATGTAATTCACATACCATATAACTCATCCATTTAAAGTATACAATTCAGGGACTTCCCTGGTGGCACAGTGGTTAAGAATACGCCTGCCAATGCAAGGGGACACGGGTTTGATACCTGGTCCAGAAAGATCCCACGTGCCGCAGAACACCTAAACCCGTGTGACACAACTACTGAGCCTGCACTCTAGTGCCCTTGAGCCACAACTACTGAGCCCGCATGCTGCAACTACTGAAGCCTGCACGCCTAGAGCCCGTGCTCCGCAACAAGAGAAGCCACCGCGAGGAGAAGCCTGTGCACTGCAACGCAGAGTAGCCCCCGCTTGCAGCAACGAAGACGCAATGCAGCCCAAAAAAAAGTATACAATTAAGTGGGTTTTAGTACATTCATAGAGTTGTGAAACCATTACCACAGTCAGTTTTATAACATTTACATCACCCAAAGAGAAACCCCATACCTATTAGCAGTCATACCCCATTCTCCTGTGCCTTACGCGTGACAACCACTGATACACTCTCTGTCTCTATAGATTTGCTTATTCTGGGCATTTCATATATGTGGAATCATAGAATATGGGGTCTTTTGTGACTGGCTTCTTTCATTTAGCATAATGTTTTCAAGCTTTATAATGTTATAACATGTATCAATACTTTGAATTTAAATAATTAGTAAGGGGCTTCCCTGGTAGTGCAGGGGTTAAGAATTCGCCGGCCAGTGCAGGGGACATGGGTTCAAGCCCTGGTCGGGGAAAATCCCACATGCCACAGAGCAGCTAAGCCTGTGCACCACAACTACTGAGCCTATGCTCTAGAGCCCGTGAGCCACAGCTACTGAGCCAAAGTGCCACAACTACTGAAGCCCACACGCCTAGAGCTTGTGCTCCGCAACAAGAGAAGCCGCCACAGTGAGAAGCCTCTGCACCGCAACAAAGAGTAGCACCCACTCGCTGCAACTAGAGAAAGCCCGCATGCAACAACGAAGACCCAGTGCAGCCAAAAATAAAATAAATAAAATTTTAAAATAATAATAGGGGATTCCGTGGTGGCACAGTGGTGAAGAATCTGCCTGCCAATGCAGGGGACACGGGTTCGAGCCCAGGTCCAGGAAGATTCCACATGCTTTGGAGCAACTAAGCCTGTGCGTCACAACTACTGAGCCTGCGCTCTAGAGCTCGTGAGCCACAACTACTGAGCCCTCATGCCACAACTACTGAAGCCCGTGCACCTAGAGCCCGTGCTCCACAATGAGAGAAGCCACCACAATGAGAAGCCCGCACACCAAAACAAAAAGTAGCCCCTGCTCACCACAACTAGAGGAAGCCTGCGTGCAGCAACAAAGACCCAATGCAGCCAAAAATAAATAAATAAAATAAATAATAAATAAATAGTAAGATGTCTATAAATAGAGTTTATAATTTTCGTGGTAACAAAAATAGATTTTGTTAGAAACAGCAGTCCAGTAAAAAATGAAAAGAAGACTGATTCCCTAAGTGTATCAGTTGCTCAAAGATTATAAATGGTGAAGATCCATATTTACCATATGTGCTTCCAAAGCATAAAGAGATGCAAATCTTTCACGTGTTTGAACAACAGCTAGCTGATAACATTATTTATGCACAACACAGTAGTGAATGAGAAAGTGAGCAAAACAGGCTTTTCTGAGCCAGGATAGATGTTTCCTATACCTTTCCTAAAGTTTTTGTACTTTTTATTATTAGAGAAACCCGTAGGACTTCAGGACTATTTACTTAACGTAACCCCTTTGATAATCTGGTTTCAAAGTTCTAAAGAAGAGTATTGATATTTGCATCACAAAATGATAATAACAAGTAAAGAAAAGGATGACAGAGTAGAAAACAATGATGAAATAATAAATTTGTCTGTATATATTTAGTATTGATACACTGTTTTTAACTAGAGTTTACATTTGGGTCTGTTCTTCGTGTTGTACAGTTCTGTGGAGTTTGACAAATGGTGCTAATGTGTGTAATGTTGCACTTTTAATTCCATATACCAATTGTTAATTGCTGGTATACAGGAAAGCACTGGCTTTTGTATATTAATCTTGTGTCCTGCAACTTTGCTATAAATGCGTATGAGTCCCAAGAGTTTTACATTGTTGTTGATTCTTTTGGATTTTCTATGTAAGCAGTCTTGTTACCTGCAAAAAGACAATTTTTCTTCCATCTTGACCTGTATTTTTTTTTTTATTTCCTTTTCTTGTCTTACTTGTTTAGCTAGGATTTCCAGGATGGCATTGAAGAGGAGTGGTGAGAAGCGGCGTCCTTGTTTTGTTCCTGCTCTTAGGGGAAAAGCATCTAGTTTCTCATCATTAAGTATGACATTAGCTTGAGGGGGTTCCTCTCTATTCCTAATTTGCTGAGAGTTCTTATTGTGAATAGGTGTTAGATATTGTCAGATGCTTTTTCTACATCTGTTGATATGATCATATGATTTTTCTTCTTTAGTGTGTTGATGTGGTGGGTAACATTGATTGATTTTCTAATGTTGAACCAGTCTTACATACCTGGAATAAATCCTACTTCGTTGTGGTGTATAATTCTTTTTATATATTGCAGGATTCAAAATATTAGTATTTTGTTGGGGATTTTGCATTTTTATTTTTTAAAAAATATTTATTTATTTATTTGGCAGTGCTGGGTCTTAGTTGCGGCTCAGGGAATCTTCGTTGCCATGTGTGGGATCCTCGCTATGCATGCGGGATCTTTAGCTGAGGCAAGCAGGAGGCACGCCGGTTCTAGGGATTGAACCCAGGCCCCCTGCATTGAGAGCACAGAGTCTTAACCACTGGACCACCAGGGAGGTCCCAAGGATTTTGCACTTATGTTCATGAGAGTTTTGTCTGTAGTTTTCCTTTCTTGTAATGTCTTTATCTGGTTTTGGTATTTGGGTAATGCTGTCCACATAGAATGAGTTAGAAGTATTCCCTTCCACTTTTATTTTCTGGAAGAGATTATAGAGAATTGATATCAATTCGTTCTTAAATGTTTGATAGAATTCACCAGTGAAATCATCTGTGCCTGCTGCTTTCTGTTTTGGCAGATTATCAATTATTGATTCAGTTTCTTTAGTAAATGTAAGCCTATTCATATTGTCTATTCCTCCTCTTGTGAGTTTGGGTAGATTGTGCTTTTCAAGGAATTGGTCCAGTTTATCTAAGTTAATCAAGTTTGTGGGCATCCATCTCCAACACACTGTACTCTGAACCTCTTAAAAGCCTAGACTATTTCTTATTCATCTTTGTGTCTTCCCCACCTAACATATAGTGGGTACTCAAATATTTGGATGACTTGTGTTAGCGTAATAAGGTTTAGTAGAATTTATATACCAAAGATGTATGATAAAGGACTAAACCTTCAGCTACTCTGGATGCTCAGCTTTATTGGCTTTGTACTTAGTACTTAGTAACTAGTAATTAAGTATATATTGCTTTCTGAACAGAAGAAACAAATACCAGAAAGCACAAAGTAGTTGTAATGACATTATCATCTAATATTTAAGTATTTACTGTGTGCCAGCATGTGTACTGGTACATATAGTATACCAGGTATAAATAGGCCTTTACATGTATTCACATTTAATCTTCACAACAACCATGTGAGATAAGTGGTAATACTAAGACATAATATGGATTGTCTTAAGAGTATATATAGAGAGAATTGCCTAGAAGAGTAAAAAGAATATACCTAAAGTAAAAAATTGCCCTGCTATCAGCATTTTAATTTTTTTAGTTAATTATTTTTTTGGCTGTGCTGGGTCGTAGTTGTGGCACGTGGGATCTTCTTTGCGGTAAGCAGAATCTTTAGTTCTGGTATGTGGGATCTAGTTCCCTGACCAGGGATCGAACCTGGGCCCCCTGCATTGGGAGCGCTGAGTCTTAGCCTCTGGACCACCAGGGAAGTCCCTGCTATCAGCATTTTAATAACAATATAATAGTGACTATATTGAGATACAGTCTAGCACAGTGATTAAGAGTAGAGGCATACGGGCATTAGGACTTCCCTGGTGGCGCAGTGGTTAAGAATCTGCCTGCCAATGCAGGGTACATGGGTTCGAGTCCTGGTCCAGGAAGATCCCACATGCCGAGGAGCAACTAAGCCCATGCACCACAACTACTGAGTCTGTGCTCTGGAGTCTGCGAGCCACAGCTACTGAGCCCACATGCCCCAGCCACTGAAGCCCATGCGCCTAGAGCCCATGCTCCGCAGCAAGAGAAGCCACCGCAATGAGAAGCCTGTGCACCACAGCGGAGAGTAGCCCCCACTCGCTGCAACTAGAGAAAGCCCGTGCTCAGCAACGAAGACCCAACGCAGCCAAAAATAAATAAATTGAAAAAGAGTAGGGGCATTAGAAGCCTGAGTTCAGTTTCCAGCTCTGCCTACCAATAGCTTTGTGATCTTGGGCAAAAATTGCTTAAGCTTCTTCTTTACCTAGTAAATGAGGATAAAAACAATATGTGCTAGGAAGGGTGGGAGGGAGGGAGACGCAAGAGGGAAGAGATATGGGAACATATGTATATGTATAACTGATTCACTTTGTTACAAAGCAGAAACTAACACACCATTGTAAAGCAATTATACTCCAATAAAGATGTTAAAAAAAACCAAAGAAACCAATTCGTGCCTTTTAGATCACTGTGAAGACTGAAAGAGTAAACACATTGAAAGCTCTTAGAAAAGTTCCTGACATGTATTAATAAATGCTTAATAAATATTAGCTATTAAGAGAGGCTTTATAATATATCATGGTTAAGGAGCATAGACTTGGAAGACAGATTCACAGGGTTTGAATTCTGTTTCTGCCACTTACTAGCTGTGTAATCTCTAACATGTAACTTAACCTCTTTGTGACTCATCTATAAAATGTGGATAAAAATATCTGCCTTGCAGATCCTGGCACAGTGTAAGCACTATAAAAGTGTTGATTATTATCTGACAAATCTGAGAAATTATCTCTCAGTACATTTATGAATTTTCTATGTGACTTTAGAAAAGATCAACCAGAAACCATCCTTTTATCAAACAAACTCTTAGGTAATAATATTTCTTATATGACAAAATATAAACACACATACACATACAAAAACAGTAGATGGGGTGGGCAAAATGGAGGAAGGTGGTCAAAAGGTACAAACTTCCAGTTATAAAATAAATAAGTCATGGGATATAATGTACATCATGGAGACTTTAGTTAATAACACTGTACTGCATATCTGAAAGTTGCCAAGAGAGTAAATCTTGAAAGTTTTCATCACAAGGAAAAAATTCTGTAACTATGCATGGTGATGGATGTTAATAATTAACTAGACATTGTGGTGATTATTTTGCAGTAATACAAGCATTGAATTATTATGTTGTATATCTGAAACTAAAATAATGTTGTATGTCAGTTGTACCTCAATTTAAAAAGAAAGAAAGGAAAAAAAAAAACCCAGTAGAGTATTAAACCACTACAGATGAAAGTCTTGAGTGGGAAATTTCATTCTGAAGTGTGCAAAGGAGCAAAACTATGAGTATGACTGTTCCTCACACCGTACCACCTTTAGTTTCAAGAGTGCTTTGTGTTACCAAAAAGTACACAGTAACCCCCTTTAAAGCTATTTTGAGAGCTTTACAAAGAACACGTTTTTTTACTCTGGACAAGTGGTTTTCAACCTGGTGCAGTTTTGCCCATCCCACCCCCAGAGGCCATCTGACATTGTCTAAAGATGTTTTTTATTATTATAACACTGGGGGGTTGGGGGATGTCCATGCTACTGGCGTCTAGTGGTTAACGGCCGCAGGTGCTGCTAAACTTCCTACAGTGTACAGGACAGCCTGCCCAACAAAGAATTAACCCTCCCCAAATATCGATGGACTGAAGTTGAGAAAACCCTGCTCTGGACCACAAGTGTTAATGACTTCCCAAGGCCACATATCTACTATGTTAATTCAGAAGAGAGTCTCAACTGCAGGCGTGGAGGTAGCGTGTCAGCTCTAGATCCTTTAACTAGAACAATTTGTATAAATTTTTAGAGAATTAGTGGTTAATAGTGCTTATTTTTCTTTTTTTTGTGTGTGTGTATAGGGTTTGTGAAACAGGATCTGACCACCAACCTCTTAGTGATAATCAACAAACAAATTGTGAATATTTTGTTGACAGCCTTTTTGAGGAAGCTCAGAAGGTTGGTGCCAAATGTTTGTCTCCCACTGAACAAAAGAAACAGGTAAGTGTCCATAATTTTTTTCTTTACCAGTGCTTCTCAAAATATGGCCCTTTAGAGGTCAAAACTGTTTTCATAATAATAGTAAGATATTATTTACTTTTTTCACTGTGTTGAGTTTGCGCTGATACTGCGAAAGCAATGGTAGGCAAAACTGGCACCTTAGGAGGAATTGAGGTAGTGACACTACTCTGTACACTGTATTCTTTCCTTGAACTTGCAGGGGGAAAAAACACTCGTTTCAATTAAAAATTTCCTTGATGAAGCAGTAAAATTTACACATTTCATTAAATCCCAACTCTTTAATACGCATCTTACAAATATTCTATGTGATAAAATATGAAGTGTATGTAAAACATTTCTACAATATACAGAAGTATCTTAAGGAAAAGTATCATTGCTTGAGATACAAGCTGAACATTCTGCTTTTTCATGGTGTACTGTTTTTACATGAAAGTGATTTATAGACAACTAGTTATTCAGTCTTGGATATTCTGCAGACATTTTCTCAAAATGTATGGAGTAAGTCTGACACTTCAAGGGAAACAACTTACAGTATTTGTTGCAAATGATAAGATATGATTTTATCAACTTTTTTACATGAAAGTAAGAATTTTGATAATCTGCCATCATGCACTTGACAGCTTCCCAAAACTTAAAAGATATTTCTGATAGGATTATTGTCATATTAATAAATGTACCTTTAAGTTTCAGATTCCATGTTCAGATTCTCAACTAACTTTTTTTTTGAATAAATTTATTTATTTTTTATTTACTTATTTTTGGTTGCGTTGGGTCTTCGTTGTTGCACGTGGGCTTTCTCTAGTTGCGGCGAGCGGGGGCTACTCTTCATTGCAGTATGCATACTTCTCATTGCGATGGCTTCTCTTGTTGCGGAGCACAGGCTCTAGGCGCACAGGCTTCAGTAGTTGTGGCATCCCTGGGCTCAGTAGCTGTGGCTTGCAGGCTCTAGAGCGCAGCTCCGTAGTTGTGGCACACGGGCTTAGTTGCTCTGTGGCATGTGGGATCTTCCCAGACCAGGGATCGAACCTGTGTCCCCTGCATTGGCAGGCGGATTCTTAACCACTGTGCCACCAGGGAAGTCCCTCAACTTTTTTTTTTTTAATTGAAGCGCAGTTGATTTAAAATGTTGTGTTAGGAAATTCCCTGGCTGTCCAGTGGTTAGGACTCTGAACTTTCCCTGCTGAGGGCACAGGTTCAGTCTCTTGCTGGGGAGCTAAGATCCCACAAGCTACGTGGCGTGGCCAAAAAAAGAAAAAAGTTGTGTTAGTTTCAGATGTACAGTAAAGTTGATTCCGTTTTTTTTTTTATATATATATATATATATATATATATATAATGTATATAAAAATATATATGATATATATAATATAAAATATGTGTAATATATATTCTTTTTCATTATAGGTTATTACAGGTTAGTGAATATAAGTTCCCTGTGCTATGCAGGAGGCCCTTGTTGTTTATCTTTTTTTTTTTTTTTTTTTTTTTTTGGCCTCTCCCACTGCAGAGCACAGGCTCCGGAGGCGCAGGCCCAGTGCCCATGGCTCACGGGCCCAGCCGCTCCACGGCATGTAGGATCTTCCCGGACCGGGGCACGAACCCGTGTCCCCTGCATCGGCAGGCGAACTCCCAACCACTGCACCACCAGGGAAGCCCTGTTTATCTATTTTATATGTAGTAGTGTTTATCTGTTAATCCCAAACTCCTAATTTATCCCTCATCCCACCTTTCCCCTTCAGTAACCATAAGTTTGTTTTCTATATCTATGAGTCTGTTTCTGTTTTGTAAATATATTCACTTGTATCATTTTTTTAGATTCTACATATGTGTTATCATGTGATATTTTCAACTAACTTTTTTTTTTTTTTTTTTTTTCG